CCAAAAATCATTTGAAGATTTTGGAATCAGTCTGTATAGGATTAAGGAAACCTTCTCTCTGCCGACAGAAAGAATTTGTAAAGTCCCTTAATCTGTTGGGGGATATTTTATTTTAACTGTCCCTTGCTAATTTATTAATGATCCAACGATTGTCTCCTGATGAGATGTTGCTTGAAAGGGCCTTAGAGACTAATAAAATTAAAATCAATAAATTCCTTGTTTTTAAAACTGTATATAAATTTTGTACCTCTAAACATTTGTTTAGATATATATATATATATATATATAGATAGATAGATAGATAGATAGATAGAGATGTACAACAAAGTGGAAAAAGTTTTTATATGACATGTTTTGTCCTTTAGGACTTCAGACTAGGTTTGTTTACGTTGATGTGACTACAAATGCACACAAATGAGACACGCTGGGAATTTTACATTTAGAAAAAAAAAATTTTTTTTTTTTTATTATATATTTTGATATATAATCTAACCAATTTCATTTAGATTCTTTTTCTTTCCATCATCTTTGTTATTAATTATCTGACATTGTGATGACAGAAGATTTGCCAAAATGGTGAAAGGTAAGAACCTGGATACAAATTTACTGTGGATGAAGTAGAAATTAAAGCTCTTTCTAAATATTTTTGTCTTAGTGAATTATTTTCTCTTTTAATTTGTATTTACTCAACACCCCACAAGGTCAAGTTTTGACATATGGTCGGTTTAATATGGGGAGCCTGAGCACATACACTGTTGGTTGCGCTGGCCTCGGTGCAAGCACCGATCCTTCTCTCTGGTGTAATGAGAGGGTGCGGCCTCAGGCAGCTGTTCCCCAGGGCTGGGCACCTCTCAGTATAATTTTCCTCAGTTGCGACTGTCCTTTGATGGAGCCACCCATGAGCGCACTTTGCCTAAAGACAGAGATGCAGATGATAAATATGGTGTTACAAACTACTCGAGAGTAATTTACACACTAAGACAAAAATGCTCAGTCTCATGCATGTAATGTGTTGTTTTCTAAAATGTCTCGAGTTCATATCTTTTATTTAGACTACTTGGAAGTTACTCCAATAATGAAACTGACCACAATTTTGACATAAAAAATGCTATTCTAATTAAATGAGAAAACAATTAAGACGAAAATATTTAGAAAGTGCTTTAATCTCTAGTTCATCTCCATTAAGTTTGCATCCAAGTTCTTAAATTTCACAATGTGGGATATTTAATAACAAAGAAAAAAGAAAAAAGAAAAAGAGTCTAAATTAAATTGGTTAGATTATATACCCAAAACGCATAAAAAAAATTATTTTTTCTATATTTAAAATTCCGGGTTGCTCTCATTCGTGAGCATGCTTAGTTGCATCAGTGGAAACAAACCAAATCCAATGAAGTCCTAAGGGACGAAACACATCACGCAAAAACATTTTCACTTTGTCATACCATCTTACCTCCAAAATTTTTCTTGATATATAAAAATTTATATATTGTTGCTCCATATGGAGAAAATTATTTTTATTATTCTATTTGAAGCCTGTTAAGTAACCCTATATTAAAATAAGTGCCATGTGAACTACAAGTAGGTAAGTTGATGTAAGTAAAAACAGATGAAAGACTGTAAACCTGATACCTAAAAATAAGCAATGATTGTTCATCCTTAAAAATGTCTTTCATTTCATACAATTAATCTGATCTTGTTTCAAATAGGATGTCAGATGAAGTAAACACTAAATAATAAATTGTTAAATTGATGAAGTAAACACTAACAATAAATTATCATCACATTTTGTCCGTTGTGCTCTCTGGCCTTTATCAGGCCTATATTGTTCTGGCTAGCCCACAGGGAATTCTCAACTGAACCTTGAACCATCAACAGTGGTAGAATGTTCTCATTCCACTGCCCATGTTTAGGGAGAGCTCATCTAGTTCTTATTCTTAGTACTGCTCGATACTGTTTCCACTGCATACAAGTACACACTACTTAGCCAAGTGATTGAACTCACAATTACTGTGTCGCCAAATTCATGAACCAATGCTTTAATCCACTAGGCTATTATTATTGTGACAGTCATTGTGAGTTCAATTTCAGGATTGGGCAGTGTATACTTGAACTCAGTAGAAACGGGTGAGCAATAACTGACAAGTACTAAAAATAAGAACTAGATCAGATATCCCCAAACAATGGAATGAGAACAGTCTACCCCATAGATTAAATAAAGGGTTCCGTTTGGTATTCTATGTAGGTTATCTGGATTGATAGACACCTGTGAAGGCTGGAGGGCACAACGTCCAAAACATGATAACAACAAAGATGAGGACAATAGTCCGAATGTAAATAGTGTAAATAATGATAACTCCTTATCCCAGAAATTCCGACAATGTTTGTATTTGGTCTATTTTGTAAAAAAATATGAAGTCCCGTGAATTTAAAAAAAAAGAAATTTTGTTACAAAATATTTGCATGTTAAAAAAAATAAAAAAATCTCATGTAATTTTTGCTTCATTTGATATCTATTGGATTTCATGCAGCAAAAATATGTTATGCTATTTCTTTTCAACTTTTTCATTAAAAAACAAAAACTATCCCATAATAGTTGGTACATTTTGTCTATGAAATATGTAAGCAAAATGTATTTTTTTTTTTTAAAGTTTGAGGGTTCTTGCTTGTTGAATGTCAACAAGGGAATGTATCCCCCCACTCATAATTTAGTTGTAATTTAAAGTTGAATGAATTCAACATCACATCTACTATCAAGGACAATTATACTATTTTCTCCATAGGAAAAAAGATGAAATAAGAGATGAATTCTCAAAGTTCTCTTACAAAACATGTGTTCTTAATAATCTGAGGAGGGAAAGTATTAATGTTCACATAAAAATAATGAAACAATTTAACAAGAAAAAAGTTTTTTTTTTTTTTTTATTCTGTATATAAAAAAAAAAATAAAAAAAAAATGGCTTTTTACATTTTTGATGAGTGACTCAAGGTGTCTTTCACCACCTTTTTCAGAAAGACAATCAAAAAATAACTTTACAAATGATAAAAACATTTTGTGATCAACACATATTTAAAGACAGATGAATTTTTCTTTTGCTATAAAATGGCTGCATATTTGAGACGAGGTTTTGTAGCAATACCAATTTCTCTCAGTTGCTTAATTGAAATTTTCTCTTTCTCTTCCACAAGCACAGGAGGAACCAAAATCTATTTGTAGCATTTGTATTAATAATAATTGTTAATTGGCATATAGCTAAATTTCATGAAATATAAATTCAATATTTTGCTAAAATTTATGTAAATAACTTTATTTCTAGGATGTTGCCTATTTGTAGTCTTTTACAACTGACCAACTGCCAAGGCTTTGCAAACTGTTTTGGTCTTTGTAATTGACTAACATATTTATAGAGTTTAGTCTTCAAGTTAGTCATTCTAGCTACTAACCTGAAAAATAGTTTCTACTTTGGTTTTCAATAGGTTTTTTTTATCATATTTACTGTTTCTTACAAATCTGATTTTTGAATTAAAATTTTAAAATTTCTTTACATGTGGGTGCAATACAAATCATTCACTGAAAGATTAAATATTTTCCCCTATCTTTTGCCAACAAATTACAAACACATAATAACCATATCAGCAAATATATATATATATATATATATATATATATATATATATATATATATATATATATATATATATATATATATGAAATAAAAGTATAAAACTTAATTTACGAGACATATTAAAACGGGTGAAACAACTGGTTTCACTCCCTCTTTCAGGCTTATTTGGAGATTTAAAATTAACACAGATAAATGTACAATAAAAGTTATTCTTAAAAACAAAAAAAAAAAAAAATTAAAAAAAAGGAACTGAGGCAAATGACACTATTAAATATTTAACAAGCACTCACATTGCTTACACAAAAGAAGGCTTACGGGACCCGATGTAAAGTGCCCCCAGAACCTTTAGATGAAATAAGGAGTGAGACCGGCCAACGGGGTGAACCAGTCAACACTAAATTTGGCTGCACAATCTCTGTTCTTTAATAGGTGTTTCGTGGATGAGTCCATTCAAAGGCAAGGTGTGATTTCTAATTCTTAACAACTCAACGCTTAGACATGAGAATAAAACAACACGTTCCTACAAAAATTAGAAATCACACCTTGCCTTTGAATGGACTCGTCACGAACACCTATAGTTCCGCCATATGTGAACACCTATCGGGTCCCGTAAGCCTTCTTTGTGTAAACAACGTGAGTGTTTGTTGGGATTGCTGTCATTTGCCTCTAGTTCCTTTTTCTAAATTTTTTTTTTTTTTCACAACTTCCTTTATTGTACATTTATCTGTGTTAATTTTTAAATTCCCGTTGAAGCCTGAAGAGGGGAGTGAACCGTTGTTCGCCTGTTTTTATATATGTCGAATATTAAGTTTTATACTTTTATTTCGATCATTAAATTTTGTACCTATTTTGTACCTACAAAAATATCTTTATATATATATATATATATATTACTGCTATGTTTATTGTCAAAAACACATTTAACAACAAGATATGATGTTTCTTTAGTGTACAATGTCCTGATTTTTATACACAATGAAATAAAATTAACAAATATATAAGTTTAATTATTTCACAAGGTGTCAGTTTTATTTTTAGTATATGAATATACACCAAATATATAAACAAATATTAAGCTGAAGTTTGAAATCTAATCTGCTCTTGAAGCCAGTTTATTAAAATATCTAAAAATCTGTAACAACTTCAATATAGAACCAAAATTTTATATTTCAGATTGAAAGTCTAATTATATATTTATCCAAATATTTGATGTATATCCATTAAAGACAAAATACTGAAAGATAATTAAACATATATATATTTACACCAAAAATCTGTTGTTTGATCTTCCTTCATATAAAATAATATACATTATCTGTGGGTATTTTATACACTTTGAATGAAGATGTGTTCTTGGCCTGTAGGCTAAAGTTTCTT